GATTAAGTCGATTATTTACATATATCGGAAATTTTTGTAACTTGCCTCAAGGCAAAACACCGCTTACACCTAGTTAAATATTCAATACTGTAAAAATTAAGAAAGATCTGAAAATGCAATTTGAAAAATTTCAATACCTTTTATTTTTGATTGTGATTCAAATGCGAACCTTTTAATACGAAAATTTGAAAATTAGTACTCGATTGTCGGATTCTCATTAGAATCGGTTGCTTTTTTACATTGCATACGAATCCAATTTGCGCTCTTATTGGAATATTATTTGGTTAATGTGATTAATCCAAATCATTCATAATGCTTTCACATTATGTGCAAATTATCTTTTAATCGACACATATATATATATATATATATATATATTATTAAATATCATTAAATAGTATAATTATATTTATATAATAAAAAATATTTATTCAGAAATCTATCCAATTATTAATAGAATAATAAAGATGAGTTAAAAAAATATATTAAATTTTGCAGTCTTTGTAAAAATTTATTTATAACTTACTAATATTTTTTGCAAACAATATTTTAGGGGGCGTCCAATTTTATTGGTCTCCGCTTTACAGCATTTTTAGCCACCTACATTATTCATGGGGGCGTCCATAACACGTGTATTTATTTTTAACCTGAGATTTTTAAAAACAAATCCAAACATTTCCAAAAAAAATTAAAAAATTACAGTTTTTTCGCGTAATTAAAAAATACATTTGATGTTGGGTGGAGGAGGTGGGGTAATTTTGAATATCACCGCGTATTACCAAGAGGGATGAGGGGTCGAAAAAATCGATCACGTGATTAATAGACGCCCCCTTAACAAATATGCATTGCTTTTCAAGCATTCAAGTTTACTGGAAAAGGATTATCTAATTAATTTAGGATTCAATGCCAATGCACAAAATTTGTGCATAAAGTAGATATTGAACCAATGTTTTCAAATATGGAGCCAGCACTGTTTATTAATAATATTAAAAAAAACTGAAACCCATTCTTTTTGCATTAAAAAAATAGAGTTATAAACACTTAAATATTATTGAAATAAACTAGTGGTGCGTGACATCGTGCAAATTGCTGGAACTTCCTGTACCGTAATGAAATATTCGAGGAATATTAAATGCTTTCAAATAGATTATTATAGATACTGTAACTTTCATTATTTGTATTTTATAGACAACAGATGAAGGCTTTTGAATTGAACGATGACTTTTATATCTGTTGCATGAAAAGTAAGAATCAAAACTTGATCAAGCGGAGTTAGAATGAAGGATCTTAGCTTAGTTCTCTCAAAAACTGCCGTTTATTACACTTTTAGCTCATTATCTTTGAAACGTCTTTGCCAGAAACTAATTACCATGTCTTCTTTTCATTACGAATTGAATGATTTTTTAATCATTCAAATAGTATACACTGATCTCTCAAAAACTCAATTTCCATTTTTTGCACTCATTGCTCCGTGTTTCGGAAACGGCTGGACCGAATGCTTTTTGAATCATTCGAATCGGTTGAGCGGTGCCGAAAAATGTCGACGAAAAATAGTATAGACACATACATACACACACATCCATTTTTTCTGAGGAATGCCAAAATGCTCAGAAACCATTGAAACGTAAAGATATTCAAACAATTTTAATTTTGATTTTTCGACAATTACAATAATTTACCCTACGGTAAGTTTGAAATACTAGGTGTAAGTGGCATTTTGTCTTAAGGCAAGTTGCTTTGACTTCCATACATATGCAACAAAATGTGCAAATAATGGATATAAATTTCATTGTTATTTAATTCAAAACTAAATTTCCAATTTCAGTAGGACCTCGATTATCCGGACTTCAGTTATACGAATTCGCGATGATCTGGATTTACCAACCGCGACAGAGTTATATGTATGTACGTATCTACAGTAAATGTATGTAAAATAATCCAAGAAAATGTGCATGTACATACATAAGGAAATGTTAATTTCTTATTAAACATTTATTTTCGTTGATATCTATGTATGTTATTGTATATAAATACACAACATTATTCTTCATACATTGGAGGTCAATCGAGGTTCTACTGTATTTTGTTTCCTTCTAAAATCTCAACCATTTCCAAGATGTGTAGAATAAATACACAACATTATTCTTCATACATTGGAGGTCAATCGAGGTTCTACTGTATTTTGTTTCCTTCTGAAATCTCAACCATTTCTAAGATGTGTAGAATAAATACACAATATTATTCTTCATACATTGGAGGTCAATCGAGGTTCTACTGTATTTTGTTTCCTTCTGAAATCTCAACTATTTCCAAGAAAATCAAAATGTCTCAATAACTAAACATTCATCAACAATTTTTCATAAAACGGAAAGGTCCAAGTGCACAAATTGATTCAGAACAAACAACAAAATGTTTCGTAGATATGTAATTTAACATTAGAAAAGGTTTGTTTTGATTATACACACACATGCACAAACACATGTATGTATATATGATATGTGCATGTAAAACGGTTAGTGCGGAAGCAATTAACGAAAAATATGAAAGCTCGGTTTGGCGGAGGGGATTGCCTTCGCAGGTGTTTTGGACTTATAGAGACAGAGCTGATTATCGTTTTGTCAAAAAAACATCAGAAATTTTCTGCAATATATTATTTATCATCAATAAATAATTGCCAATTGTAAATAAAATAGCACAGACAATTTTATACGTGTGACTTCACAGAAAAAAAATTTCTATTTGGTTTCGAGTAGAAACTGAAAAGAGTGCAACTTTAAGTAGATACAATTGTTGGTGATACATCACGTTAATTATACAGGGTCATTTATATGAAGTTAATGTAAATGTTGAATAAACTGAACAATTTTCAATGCGTTTTTTCATTATCGAAGTTAAAGCCTTACAATTTTTCCAGCTATGTTCGAAAAACAACGTCGAATAAGTACCACCTTCATTGGGCAAACAAAATTTCGCTTGTTTTCATTGACCGCATATTGATGGTGCACCGATTGAACCGATTGAATAATTCAAAAACATTCGATTCATATTGATAAGGAGACGTGCTGATTAGTTTTTGGCGAAGGCAGGTCTAGCCGTTCCAAAGATACGGGGCAAAAAGTGCCAAAAACGGTAACTCAGTTTTTAAGAGTTAAAAAAATGTCATTTGGCGGTCAAAAATGTTTATTGGTCATATGTACATCAAATTATCAGATATTTTATAGAGATTTTAATAATGTGTACACATTTTGTGTAATTTTTTTTGGGTTCCGTACCGAGATTTTCATTTACGGTTCGGGAAGTTCCAGCAATTTCCCTTAAGGCACGATGCCATGCACCCCACTAGTTAGAAAATTGTATTATTAACGACCCAAATTAGATGTTTTCACCAGAAAATCCGATTTGCTAATTCTAAGAGTTTTCTCAACGTTTTAAGTCATTCTGAATTATTTGAGATTAAAATTGGGAAAAATATAGATGTATGATGTGAACTAAAAATGATTCAAATATGTCGATTAGTTGAGTTACTCTTTAAGGAGTCGCGTTTATCAGTCTAAAACTGATGATCGGTCAAGCCGTTTTCTATAATAAGCAGAAAAGTTTTGGCAAAAAATCCTGAATCAAGCTCGAAAGATAAAATCGTGCGGATTAGTTTTTGGCAACAATTGGTCGAGTCGTTTCTTCGTAATTGATTGGTATTTCGGCGATTTCAAGGATTTTTATGATACGGCTATACGATAAAAAAATGATCAGCGCTTTTGTGATGTGAGCCAAAAATTGACCTATGGTCGACGTTTTCTCAAAAACGACTAAAACGATTTCAAAAATTTAAATTGAATTTTGAGACGATGGGCCGAGGCGTTTCCTTGAACAGAAAAGTTTTATCCAAGTTTTCGTAAAGTATTTTGAACCAAAAATTCAAAATTATTTAAAAGATGTCATTTGGGAATAATTGGTTGGTTAACAAAAATTTTTTTAACAAAGATCGGTCGGGTCGTTCTTCGAAATTGATTGATAATTTGTTTTTGTGATTTTAATGAAACTCCTTATGGCGTTATAAAGGTCCTGATGTTAATAAATATACTAAAATAATAGAGGCCTGCAACAACTAGTTTAATTATAAAAATTAATTAAAGTTTGGATTAATCGGCAATGATTTTACAAAATCTTGCGTGTTTAAGACGTGTTCGTATTTTATTAATGTTTATCATTTAAACCATTTGTCGAAAATAACTAACATATTTGGAAAATTTGTGCAAAATTGAATCAACTCGGTATACTCATAAATTAAAAAATGGATTTTTAATTGATTATTTTAAGTCGATTATTTACACATGTTGGGACTTACCTTAAAGTAAAATGCCACTTACACCTAGCTATGTAATTTTTAATCAGTAATTTCTTCAATAACTGCATGTATGTATGTAAAACAATATCAATATGTTAGTTTGGAACACTCATACAAAAATGACAAAATTTTATAAATTAGGTTTGATTCATATAATTATATATTGCAGACATTAAATTACTTTTCTAATTTTTATTTGAATGAATGAGACATACTGTTTAAAAATATAGTGTGAGAACTGAATTGCAGAAATTAATAATAGCGCCTGAAGTAATACCACCTTTCAAAGCTTTTTTTACTTTATGCAAAAATCGAGACAAAATAATCAGAACATTAAAAAATATTCATCAAAATATATTAAAAATGCAATCGGCTCTCCATTTAATATAGATTACGGAATAAATAATACAGCCGTTCGACTGGTTTTGCTAATTAATCAACGGTTCGAAAAAAAATGCCGCGGGCTTGTTAATTTATTAGCGTGAAGTTGTTCATAACAACTCAGTGGCAACAACAACAACTAAAACTTACTTTAGACAAATTAAAATTATATTAATAAACTATATCTTAGTTTTATGTTTTTGTTAGATTCGAAGCAATTCTATTTTAGATAAATTGTTAAATCATATACAAAAAAAATCATATTCCGTGTAAAAATTGGTGTTGCCTGATTCCCATATTTATACATCAAGTATCAGTTTTCACATGTTGGCAATTTGATTCTTTAGCTTTTACGTCATTCCGCCATTTTCTGTCACTTTCGGCGATAAATAATATCCATTCTAAAGGTAAATCATTATTTTAAAGGTTTTAGTACCTGCAAACTTATTTTATTATATTTTACTCAAACTGCCAATAAGGTATTTAACATATCATAACATTAACTTTATTATTATATTTTTCTGTATTCGTTATGTAATAAATGTAGTAATAAGTTTTTTTAGTATTAATTATTTTATTTTTCAATATAGATGGTTTTACAGAAGCCACAAATGAGAGGTCTTTTGACCAAACAAATCAAAGTTAATGTCCCAATTGCTTTGGCAGTTTCTCTAACAGGGGCTGTTTGTCTTAAAGTATTCTACAATGATCCATTGAAGCAAAAATATGCTGATTTCTACAAGTGAGTTCTTAAATATAACATCATTTCAGTGTTAATCAATACTACTTGATTTTATTTGAGCAGTATTTAATTACTAATGTATTCTCCATCTTTAGCGACTGAAACTAATGTGTGATAACTAACAGTGTTCTATTTCTATAGAATTCTAAATAATTCAATATAATGCAAAGCATTGTAGAAGAACAGGTTTCTTATTTCTTGTCTTAACTTGTCATTATAGTCTTTTACATTTAGTGACTGAAATAATAAGGATGGAATAATGATTGGGTAATGATTACGCTGTTTGTCTGCTTCATAAAATTAATTCTATACCTATAATCTTGTTGTTATAGTTATACCTAAAGTCTTATCTTGTTAATGTAGTTTTTTACATTCAGTGACTTCACTAATAATGATTATGCTATTTGTTTGCTTCATCACTTTAATTCTATACCTATAAATTGCTTATGCAATAAATAAATCGACAAACATAACTTTATTTTGAATACATATTAATTTCTAAAATTCTTTCGGCAAAAAGAAAATTTTCAAAAAATAATATATTATTTAACATAGTTTTGGTTTTACTTTATTTGTTTATTTATTAGTAAACTACATTTCTTGATTTTAGGACCTACAATGCAGAAGAATCCTTCGAGAGAATGAGGAAGAAGGGATTATTCCAATCATGTGAATAATTTTAAACCTCCAAGAATGGGAGAAATAGTCAGATAACAAATTAATGTAAAATAAATATTTAAATACACTACTTTATAGTTTCCTTTTCAAATTAATTTGTTCCTATATGTTCATTGCAAATTTTAACATACTAAAATTAAGATATTAATTTGTAATGATTAGAAAAGCACAATTTAATCTTTGAATGTTAAAATTATTTTCAAATATTAGTTTGAAATAATTAAACAAGTGCATAAATAAGCACATTATGCAAGCTGGAGGTTGAATTCAATATACATAATGTACTAATTCATTTCGATTACTTGAAATAAAACTAATAACATGTATTATATACTGCTATAGCAGATCTCAGCAGATAAATGTTTAGAATATATTTTTAAATCTACTTTTATGTAAAAGTTCATTGCTGCTACAAGATACTATAATTTTGATGTGCCAAAATAATAAACAAAGCTATATTTTTTCTTGAACCTATATAGAGTTTAGTTAAAATTTATTTTTCATTATCATTAAAATTGAGAGGAGCTAAGGCTACAAGAATAAAGCAAATGTTTGTGCAAACAACAAAATGTATTTCTATAAAATGATTTATGCAAATTGTTTGCCCAACGACTACTCTAAGACCACAGAGTTAACTCTATGGCGTTTCTTAGCAGTTAACCTCAAACCAAATCAGCTGACTTGTCATTGAACTTATTTTATTCACAATGCTTCATTTCATGCATATTCAAAGTTAGATAGATATTTTATTCCAATTACATCAACAAAATTCAAAATGAATCTAAAATATTCATTTTATTACGGTTTTATTAAAATGATATTGGACTTAAGAAATTACCCAGAATGCTGAGCGCCAATGCGCATGTCAAGTTAGGAAATGCAAATGGCGCCCGTTGTTATTGTTCGTACCGAATATAATATTTGTGTTGAAATTCTAATGGTTTACGACAAGTTTTATAATAAATTTTAACAAAACTATGCCAATGCAAGAGAGAACCTATGTGTTTTTATTAAATGTTTTGTGTTTTGTAACGTGGAAAGTGAAAATTTTGTGTTAAAAGTGTGCCATGCAAATGGGGTAAGCTGATATTATCGAGTGCCGTTTGAGTTGTTAAAGATACAATTTTACTTGTGAAAGTGTTTTTGGAGGCGATTATCGGATTATAGGAATACATCAATATGATCCAAGGTATGGAATGAAAATCTAAGCTAATTTGAAATCGTTCTTGACAAATGCGCGTACCGTGGCACACTCCCCCAAGGAAATTCAAAATGGCTGCGTCCCTTTCAGCCTCAGGCTTTGCGTCATTAGAACGTTCTTATTTTGATAAATAACCAATGTCAGAATCGAAAAACCATAAATATGATACGGGAATTTTGTAAAAATCGTATTTTTCATATGTTCAACATTTCTGTAATGGCCTATTCGCGTTACGTTTGCATCTGGACCATTGCACAGACTTTCAATGTTTTGATAATGTCGAGTAATTAGGCTGTATTGTTTCAGAAATTCGACATTAGGGTCAGATGCGTCTATGAAGGCATGATATACGCGCCATGAGGTAAGTTGGAATTATTGAAATTGTACAAAATTACAAATGATTACATATCAAAGTCAAAGCTCCTATTTCCAAACGCTCGGTCATTAGTGAAATACAAGATTCTCGCAGTCAAATTTGTGTTATAGCGCCGAAATAACTTTTGATTATTTATCGTCGTTATTTACCAATAGTTTGTCAATAAATCAACGTGAAATTAATTTCGTAAAATATGCATAAAGTTTAAATCATCGTTTTTATAATTTAGTCACACAAGGTTTTTTGTGTCAGATAATAAAAACATCTAAAATTAATCGGAAATATCTCCATTTTGCTTATAACACCTTACAAATTATATTTATAATCAATATTAATTGATATAAAACTAAACTTTTAGCAAAATTGCATTATTGAAGTTTTAGTAATTTTGTGAAACCTGTTTTGTGTACATTATAATCATATTATTTATTGAATGAATATTGTTATTGAATTTTCTCTGTACTTGTCACAAATTTTCATACTCAAATATTAAATAACCAATGACAATTTTAAAATTAAGCAATTTAAACGCTGATTGCAAACATAAAATATTTTCCTATTTCTAAATGTCAAAAATAAGGTTAGAATAAAATTTGTGTTATATCTAAAAAAAAATCACTTTCATTAACCTAATGTTATTTCTCAACATTTCAAGCAATAAATTAGAATTATTTTTTTGTTGGGTTTCCGTAATATTATGTAATTAATTGTGTAATATTCCATGTAACTAGTTCCATTTCGATAATGTGAATACGTTTTCGGGGGGCCCTCGGTTTTGAAAAGAAAGCCTATCATAATTATTTATCAAAAATTAAATTTTTAATGAAAGCATCATATGCATACTAATTTATGATTATTAAAAGGGTTAATATAGTTTTTATATAAATATAGATATTATAATTTATCGTGTAATAAAATATCATTTTGTATTATATATTTTATTACGAATTAGGATTATTTTTTTTTTAGAATTCTTGGTCAAATAATAATCAGAAAACACACTTTTACGTCAATTCAAATAATTGGTCCAAATTTATTTGCACGAACAAATATTTTAAAAAATATATTATAATTTGGATGAAATTATTAATATTATTCAAAATTTCTTAATCCTATTGATTAAGACTTTGACTATGGCCATCTTTATAAAAACAATCAAATATCATTTTTATACACAAATCTGGTGTATAAAAAATATAAGAACAAATGAAATGTTCTTTACAATAAATTAATAAAAATGATTCAGGGTATTAACTGAATCAATAATTTCACTTTAATAAAAAATAAAATAATGAAATACATGGTTTAACTACTGTATTTGCGAAAGCTTTTCTGAAATTTTTTTTTCTATAATAATAATTAATTTAACATTTCATAGTTAAAAAATGAAGATTCTATGCACCCTTTATTTAAAAATTAAAAGGCTTTATTTCCTAGTTTACCATAGAATTGGCCTAAATAGGATTGTAGATAGTGTACTGAACCTTGACAAAAATGTGGAAAAAATGTCTAGAATATAAAAGTTCTCTACATTTTTTATCAGAATTTGAAATCATCATTTTACTCTATATTGATCTAACACAGAGATTCCTAAAGAGGTACATATGGAACCCCAGGGGTCAACTGACAACTTTCAAGGGATAATCAAATTATAAGGCTTTATTTTTTAGTTATCATTTCAATGAAAAAACTATCCTTTATTTTGGCCTCTTTTTTATTTAAATTTATGTTATTGTTCATTATTGTTACTAGATGTTAAAATATTCAGCAGTTGTAACATATATTGTAATTAAAAAAAAAAAAAAATCAGTTGAGCATAGAATTGGCTCAAATGGAATTGTAGGTAGTATACAGAACCTCGATAAAAAATCATATTCTATTTGTTCAATTTGTCTTTTGTTCTCTACATTTTATATCAGAATTTGAAACCTTTACTCTATGTCGATCTTACTCGTTGGTTCCAAAAATGGTCTATATTGACCCCCAAGGTTTCATGGCAACTTTCTAAGGGGGCCAGCGCAAAAAAATTTAGAGGTCCACAAAATAGAAATGGGGTCAGGAGTATGAATGAAGATACCTAGAAAGCAAAAAATATTGCATATTCCTATAGAGTTATAAAAAAAGAGTGCGTGTAAGGTTCACATGCGATTGAAGTAAAACTTATTTGCTACTGTACAAGATGGCATTTAAGTAAAAATAAATACATCATATAACAATTTTGAATAATGTTTATTAGTAATATGGTTACACTCGTGATGCACATATTTATTAGTGTCAACCATTATACATATTTATATAATGATAAATTATAAATTATATATTTATAATAGCATTAAAAATATGTATAATATTTAAAAACAATAAAGCAATTAAAGTCATACTTTAAGTATGACATGATCGGTTTGTCATTGTAATTAGCTTTTAGAAACAAATCTTCATTAGGGAAATCCAGTAATTGCTGATTGATAAGTTCTATAATATTTGCTCTCACAGTGAAATCTTGAAGTTATTAAAATGGAAAACATTCTTAGGCAAGACAGATATTGCACCTATAAATCTACACCCTAGTCGCGTCTAAAGAAGTTTTACTTCAAAAATCGATTTCGGGTAAATAAAGGGTTCATTGCAAAGCCTAATGAGTTCATGACACGAAATATTTTGGGAACCTGTGGTCTTACTTATAAAACCTTATTTTTTGGTTTTGGATGAAAATGGCCATTCTGGTTGAATTGGAATTGTTTGTTCTAGAATAGAATAAAAAATTTTTAATTGATATTTTCTGTTCTCTATCTTTTATATTTATGATATATCAAAATTTGAAACCATCGATTTATACTATAGAAATATAAGACCCTTTTTTCAGTTTAAAAATGGTCATAGTTGACTTTCTGGCTTTCACCTGAAATTGTAAAAATCTAGAATCAAATGTCATACTTTATTTTTTCAATTCTAAATTTTTCAATTCTTTATTTTTTCAATTCTTTCACTTGAAATTGTAAAAATCTAGAATAAAATGTCATACTTTATTTTTTCAATTCTAAATTTTTCAATTCTTTATTTTTTCAATTCTTTCACCTGAAATTGTAAAAATCTAGAGTAAAATGTCATACTTTATTTTTTCAATTCATCTCTTGGGGCTCTATTTTTTATATTGCTGATATATAAAAAGCACATAAATAAATTAGATGCAGTAGAATAAATCATTTGAATTGACGAAAATAATAGTTCTCAATAATGAATCATAGTAAATCATAATAAATCATAAATAATCAGTTTAATTATTTGGATTATTATATTATTTATAATACTGGTTTGATTCAAGGTAATAAATTCTGTTATTACCAAGCACCAACGTTATTTGTACAATTACTGTAATATTATTAACCAACTAATATACCATAAATCTATTTATTATTATTATTATTATTGAAAACTAGTTTACGGCGTTGAAACTATCTTTCATAAAATATATAGCATTAAATTTGATTAAAGT